TGTTTTCTTCTGGTGTTGGAAGATCGCTAGTGTATAATAGATACAGGACCGGACCTAATACACTGCCTTGTGGGACCCCCGCTTCTATTATTTCCAAGTTTGAATACGCATCCTCCTGCTTTATTCTAAAGTATCGATTTGACAAATACGATTCCAGTATTTCTGAATATTGCACTGGCAGCATTTTTCTTAATTTATGTATTAAACCCACGTGCCATACTTTGTCAAATGCCTGTGCTACATCTAAAAATATTGCTGAGCATACTTTTTTCTCTTCCAAGGACTTTTCTATAACATTTACTATTCTGTGAACCTGATCAATTGTTGAGTGTTGGTTTCGGAATCCAAATTGATGATCTGGAATCAAATTTTTATTCTCTATAATTGGTTTTAACCGCTTCAACAGTAACTTTTCGAAGAGCTTGGATATAATAGGTAAAAGTGATATGGGTCTATAAGATGAAACTTCATGTGGGGGTTTACCAGGTTTTGATATCATAATCACTTCTGCAACTTTCCACAATTGAGGTACGTATTTCAACCGAAAAGAAGCATTTATAATATTTGTTAATTTTAGTACCGCTTTTCTCGGCAACTTTTTCAAGATTTCCCCAGTTATCAGGTCGAACCCAGGAGCTTTTTTTGTTTTAGTATTGTTTTTAATTTCGTTTAACACTTCTGCTACTGTAACAATACCAATATTATTATCCTCTTGTATTATAACATCATCAAACAACTCGTCATTTTGACTGTCTTGTTGTGTATATGTGATTTTGAGATGCTCTGCAAATTTATCAGCTTTTTCTTGATTGGTTTTGTACCAATTTCCCTGCTCTCCTCTGATTGGGGGAATTTGCTTTATAGGTCTCTTTAGTCTTTTTGTTGCTTTCCATAAAGAGTAATCAGTGCTTTTATCATGGGTAAGGTTACTAAGATAGACTCTAATCGAGTCATTTTTCAACTGTTTTATATCTCTCCTTAACCTTTGGGTCAAGTTATTCAGGCGTCTTTTATCGTTTGGATCTCGAGTCTGATGCCACTTTCTTCTTGCTTGTCTTTTAGCCCTGATCTGTTCTCTAACTTCAGCTGGATAGTTATTACCTTGCAATCTTGTTTTAATTTCAGGAGTGTTACTCCATGCTGCTTTCTGAATATTTGTTACTAGTTTCTCTACTTCCGCATCAATTTCTTCTTTAGTCCTTATTGCTACAGACATGTCAATTCTTTGTTCAACATCTATTTTAAATCCTTCCCAGTCCGTGTTTTTATTAACTAAAATTGGATTGCACTCTTTTTGGATCAGGTTTTCGCTTAATGTTAGCATTATAGGGGTATGATCAGAGTCCAAGTCATATCCTTCTTCAATTTTTATATAATTACTTGTTATATGTCTTGTTATAAAAAAGTCGATTAAATCAGGGATTTTGTTGGGATCGGTGGGCCAATACGTTGGCCTGCCTGTTGAAATAGGTTCACATTGACCCTCTTTGATTGCCTTGTATAATTCCTTCCCCTTGGAAGTTGTTAATCTAGATCCCCATGCAGTATTTTTTGCGTTAAAATCTCCGCCTACAATAAACCTATCTCCAAGAAGTTCAAAGAACTCCGAGTATTGCGATTTCTTCAACGAATACCTTGGGGGGGAGTATATACTTGCTATTATTACAGGGTACTTTTTTGTTTCAACGCGTACCACACTCGCTTGTATTTCCTCTGTTTCAATCTTCATAACTGGATTATGTTTTATGCTTTTTCTTATTATTACTGCACTACCACCTCTAGCTGAATTCTGTGGGTGAGTTGCATGGTAAGTTTCGTAGTTTCTAAGTTTAAAGTAGCTATTTTTGACAAGATGTGTTTCTGAAATAAGGCACACATCAATGCTTTCTATATCTAGGATTGCCTGCAATTCGTTTTTACGCCGGAGCAATCCATTAGCATTCCATGCTATTATTTTGAGTGTGTTGGCCATTGTTATGATTTGTACTTTTGTATGGCGCCTTTTTTACCATACTCCAGACTTTCAAGTCTCTTACCAAACTGATTCAGTTGTTCCATCATAAGTTGTAACGACTGATGTATGTCAACACTCTGCCGAGTATTTTTATCCTTAGATGTTCCAGCTTTTACAACATTAGCATAGCTGTTCTTTGTAGTTGAGGCTTTTGTATTTGTATTATCTGTTATCATATTTTTTTGTTGATTTTTGTTACTATTTTCGTTTTCATTTAAGTTGATTTTACTTTTATTAAACTTTTTTTGCTGTTCGGGCTTATTTCTTAATTTTTGCAATTGTTTGACTACGATGCAACCCCTGTAGCTAGCTGGATGTGCCCCCCCACAGTGTACACATTTTGGTGGTTGATCTTTTGGTTTTTTGCAGTCTTGGGTAAGATGCTTTCCTCTACACTTGACACATCTTGGGTCTTTAGAACAGTAACTTTTTGTGTGCCCAAAATCTTGACATCTCTTACATTGTACTATGAGTTTATTCTTTTTTAGTGCCACAATTTTTACTACCGAGCTCATTATTCTGTCAATTTTGTAAATTTTATTTATGTCTTCTTTTGGGTCAAATGATAGCAGGAACATGTTCAAAGGTTTCTTATCTTTAAAACTTTGTTTATTTACTACTTCCAAGATCTTATAGCCTCTGTTTAGTAGATTAACTTTAATGTCAGTAGGGTGATAGGATTGATGTAACTTCAACGCCATTACTCTGATAGGTCTTTGCTGTTTATTTTCGTACGAATACCATGGATACTTCCCTTGCACTTTATCTCTAATTTTTTTAAAGGTTTCAGCCTGCAGAGAATTGATTTTGACTTTGCTATTATTCAGTAACTTAATACTGTATGTATCCTTTGGAACATCTTCGAGCATAAGTTCTAGTACGGTAAAGTTTTCGACCCCTTCCAATATTATAGGTGGCGGAGGTGGAGGTTTCTTTATACCTGATTGCGGCTTTTCTACAGTAGTTTTTTGTTTTGTATTACTCGTTTCTGCCTTTTCATTTTCTTTTTTATTTCTAACTCTTATCCATTCTGTTTCCCTAGCGAGTTCCTCTTCATCTGTGTAATATTCAATTTTATCTTGCCCAACGTCTGAGTTGTTCGCACTTTCTATATTTACTTTGTTGACTCCTGTTTGAATCTTTTTAACTACTACTTCAGGAGAGTTTTTTGCTTTTCTTTTTTTTGCAGCCCTTTTTATCATTGCTGTCTTGACAGAGTTGTTATCTGTTTCATATTCAGAAGAATTGCATTCGCTAGAATCAAGCCTCTTCTTCCTGTTTTCTGAAATTGTAGCCTTTAGTGTACTATTTTCGGCTTTCAATAGTTTAACTTCTTTTTCAAGATCCTTAATACGGTCTAGGTAAGATGCCGACGCCATTTTCCATTTATTTAACGAGTCTTCGATATCCTGTACTTTTGTCCGAAGGTCTTTATTTTCTTTGGCTAAGGAAGGGTCACTATTTTCAATTTGAGTTTTTTTGTAATACTTGTCATCGTCGAAAAACATGTTTTTATCCATCTCAGGAGCACTTTTTGGCGGTGATCTACTCAACATAACACTTTTTTTGAATGGATTATCGTTATTTTTTTGATAAATACTTAGTCCAGTAGCATTATCCATCACCTTGGCCTGGGACTCTACCAAGCGTGAAGAGCGGTCGCTGGATGCCGGTCCGTGGGAGCCCACTCGAGCACTCTCTGCACTTACCGGCTCTGGGGGTCCGAATCCCTGAGCAGTAACAATTTTTAAAATATATGAAAAATCCATTTTTGCATTTTTTTAACACATTTAACACGGTTTACTAGTAAAACTATGAGGGATGCTATATAGGTCAACATTATAGGTTAACATTAGGAAAATGCTATATAGGTTAACATTAAGCGCATCGAAAAAAAAAAATAACAAAAATTTTCGGAAAATTTCGAGTTTTTTCAAAAAAAAAAAAACATTCTGGTTTTGACTTTCTCTTATCTCAAAAACTGTGGCTAAATTAAATTCATTGTAAGACTGAAAATAAAGAGCAATCCGTCCCCTGTGAAAACAGCCTCCGATGGATACTTTATGTTGTATAGTTCCGAGTTTATAAACATTTATCGTTTTTAAACCTGCAGCTTGTCAAAGAATACAGAAAGAAATTTGTGTGCCAAGATTTTATAATTTTTTTTTTAAATACATATATATTTTATATTTTAAAATTACATTTCTAAACAAAATTTAAAAAAATTAAAAAAAAGTGCTTATTAGCTTCACTCTGGACATGTTTACAAAACTTCTACACCTTTGAAGATAGAAAACTGATACAAAATGTATGCAATCTTTAAAATACATTCGTATATGAATCAAACTTATTTTAATAATGCAAATAATAAATTTTTTTTTAAAAGCAGTATTTTCACTTGCTGGGGGGAAAAGTGCTACAATCAAAATATATCTATTATTATTTTGGCAAAAACGGTATTAAATTTTTCAGCAGGCTTAAAACCAGTTGGTTCTTCTGTTTTGGAAACGCTTCAGGTTTTATAAATTTAATCTAGTTCAATGTATTCATTTTTCGTGTATGAACCAAAATGCTCTTTCTTAGCCTTAACATATTCTAATTTGTCTTGAGTTGAAACACCCGTCGTTGATTAACTTATCAATATCAGGCTGAAGTTGCAAAGGATTCGCCGCAAGGCTATCATTACTCAGCGTAAAAATATTTTGTACAATTTGAAATTTAAATTACATTATGTATATATGTATATAGGAAACGAATTACGAAACAATAAGGTATAATCTAGCACATGGCAAGTGAACTAGTGTACTGGCAACAACGTTCTCAGAAAACAATTAATGTTACTCCGATAGCTTAAAATATTTTAAAAAGTTTTCTCTGTAAAATGATCTCTTTACAAAATTCTGTTTATTCTTTCTGACAGTCGAAAATTTATTTTAGTTAACATAACCCGAGATTAAAGTTTAAATTTATCTCTTGAATATTTTAGCGCTGGAGGTCTGGTGACGGCGGTATGCCCGGTGGTTATTAAAGGAAACGGATTATGGGTTGGATGGTCTGGTATGCATTTAAGTGATACTGAAGAAATCCCAGAATCAAATCCAAACGATCACACTCCAACAGCTGGTCTAAAATCAGCTCAAGTAAGTAAAATTATTTTGCCTTGTATAGTAGTTTTCAAAACGAGTTCATTTTGTATTTGAGGTTGTTTCTGTCAATATTGATCCCGAGGTGTTTGACAGTTATTACAATGGTTGCTGCAATAAAACTTTTTGGCCGCTTTTTCATTCTATGCCTGGGCGTGCTACATTTAGTGCCGATCATTGGCGTAATTATGTTAAAGTCAACAAACATTTTGCAACAAAAACCATTGATGCCCTTCAGAGGATTCACAAAAACAATAACCAAAGTGCCCCTATAGTTTGGATACATGATTATCATTTGATGTTGGCAGCAAATTGGGTACGTGAAGAAGCCGAAATAAAAAATTTATCCTGTAGAGTTGCATTCTTTTTGCATATACCTTTTCCACCATGGGACATTTTTCGTCTATTTCCATGGTCTGATATGGTACTTCAGGGAATGTTAGGCTGTGATATGGTAGGTTTTCATATTCAAGATTATTGTCTGAATTTTATTGATTGCTGTCAAAGAAATTTGGGATGTCGAGTAGATCGCAATAATTTATTAGTAGAACATGGTGGAAGGACTGTCCGTATTCGACCACTACCAATTGGAATACCTTATGATCGATTCGTTGAACTAGCCACGAAAGCACCAAAAGTTATCAAAACGAAACACAAAGTTATTTTAGGAGTTGATCGCCTAGATTATACAAAGGGCTTGGTTAATCGTTTAAGAGCTTTTGAAAAGTTGCTTGAAAAACATCCTGAACTTATAGGACGTGTTAGTTTATTACAAATTTCAGTTCCCTCAAGAACGGATGTAAAAGAATATCGCGAGCTTAAAGAGGAAATGGATCAGTTGGTTGGGAGAATTAATGGGCGTTTTACTAATGCAAACTGGGCTCCCATTCGTTATATTTATGATTATGTTGCTCAAGATGAACTAGCTGCTTTATACAGAGACGCTGCTGTCTGTCTTGTTACTCCATTAAGAGATGGTATGAACTTAGTTGCAAAAGAATTCGTTGCTTGTCAAATAAATGAATCACCTGGTGTCTTAATCATCTCGCCATTTGCTGGAGCAGGGGAAATGATGCATGAGGCTTTGCTTTGTAATCCATATGAAGTGAATGATGCTGCTGAAATTATTCACCGTGCTCTAACAATGCCTGAAGATGAAAGAGTTTTAAGAATGAACCGCTTAAGACGTAGAGAACAGCTTCATGACGTAGGACATTGGATGAGATGTTTTTTAAAAGCAATGGGAACTCTTGAACAAGATGATGTGGGGTCTACAGTCATGCAGCCAGTTTCAATTGATGATTTTGATCAATACTTATTGAAGTAAAAAAATACGTCATTCAGATTTATATGTATTAGAATTAACTTTTATAATCTAGGTACATCGGATATAACCACAAACTCGCTTTATTGCTTGACTATGACGGCACTTTAGCACCAATTGCTCCTCATCCTGATTTAGCTATCTTATCACCAGAAACAAGAAACATTCTATTTAAACTTTCAAATCATTCTGATTTATATGTAGCAATTATCTCTGGAAGAAATGTGGATAACGTAAAAAAAATGGTTGGAATCGACAAAATTACTTACGCAGGAAATCATGGCTTAGAGATTTTACACCCAGATGGTAGTAAGTTCGTTCATCCTATGCCAATTGAATGGGAAGAAAAAGTTAGTGAATTATCAAAGGCCTTGCAGGACGCTGTGAGTAGTTACAATGAAAATTTTAAAAGGTGCAACGCACATTATACTAAACCAAAATTTTTCTTAGGTATGTCACGATGGGGCTTGGGTAGAAAATAAAGGTGCAATTTTAACCTTCCATTATCGCGAAACCTCCCCAGAACTGAGATCACATTTGGTTGAACAAGCTAGGATTTTAATCTCCAAATCAGGTTTTAAGCCAGTTGAAGCCCACTGTGCTTTAGAAGCCCGTCCGCCAGTTCAGTGGAATAAAGGTCGTGCTTCAATTTACATTTTGAGGACAGCTTTCGGAGTAGATTGGACAGAGCGTATAAAAATAATTTACGTTGGAGATGATTTGACTGATGAGGACGCTATGGTGGTGAGATATTAGAACAATGCACAATCCTTTTTAATATTTTATTTAATAATTTTATTTAATAATTTTCAAAACTTTCCTTAGTCGCTTAAAGGTATGGCTAGAACATTTCGTGTAACATCATCTGATATTGTACAAACCGCTGCAGATCACCGTCTGCCGTCGACGGACTCAGTCTATACAATGTTAAAATGGATTGAAAGACACTTCATGGGACGCAAAGCTCGTGCTAATTCGCTGACATTCCGGAATAGAAAAGAAGATTGCGTTAAATCCCACATGTCTTATGACTCTCTTTCACCTTCATCCACAAATAATTCAATTGATTGCGATCATCTTTAGCGAACTAAGTACAAATCTAAATTTATGTATTAGAATGTGTATCTTTCGTGCAGTAAAACTTAAAATCGCTATCTTACATTTTAAATTACTTTTTACGGTAAATACTAAATTGGATCTATAGAGGGAACTATGTAAGGAGAGGTTTAATGATGCTATATGAAAAATATGGTTTAAGCAGCTTTATCTGAAAACATAATAAACAATGTAAACATAATACGTTATGTATGTAAAATATTGATTTAAAAAAACATGTAAAGTAAATTCTCTTTTATCAGAAGTTATAATTAAATTATTATGGAACGAATTTTTTATTGCAAATTTATAATTTGATAAAATCATATTATGACATAATTTGATAAGAACTTTGAATTTTCATAGTTTAAATGGTTTTATAAGAATTTGTATAACTTCTATAAAGGATATGTGTAAATACATATAGGTTGTATGTTTATATTACGTGTTCACACTTTTACTTTCACTTAAAATTTAGTTGTTTGTTTTTAAATTTTTATAAAATAAAATTTGATGTACATGAAATAAATTTATAATAGTATATATACTATTATTATTTGCTTTTTTAATTAAAAAATTTTACTCAATGCATCACTATGAACTTTTTTTGAAAATTATGTACAAATATGAATAAATGCAAGTCATGTAATGAGTATTTAGAGAACGCAATAAGAAACTGATTTCCGAAAATATTTTACAGCAGAGTGAATTAGAAGTACAATGTTCGTCAGTTAAACACTGTTTGTCTAAAGCTATAAACTTAATCTACACAAAATACAAATCTAAATCTTACGATACTGGCAACCATGAATTGTGTTATCAAATAATAAGTAGTTGCTTTTATTCCTCAATAAATAATGAATTAAATGCTTTACTTACCTATTTAATCGAATGGTGCTGTTCAGATTACTTCTTGTATTTTTCTATTTACACCAAAAAACAGACAATACACAATATATATAGTTGCTAAAACTTTTAAGGAAATGGTTTTTGAACTACAATTTTCAATTACAATAAGTGAATTGCAAAATAATTATTACATTGACAGCATGCGATTGTGTTGACTTACTAAATTAGAAGAATTTTCATTATTCAGACAACATATTCTTTATATCTAACTAGTCCCAATATTAAATTTTCTTTTCGAAGTATCTGAATGTGCTTCCTCCGTTCCTGTTTTATTTTAAATTCCATTGATCGTGTTATTTTTCTTATTATTTTTTTCTTTTTTTTTAAGGAGAAAAGGAAAAGAGTGAAAAAATCTCATGATATCATAAACATTTTTTAAAAAGGTTGCCATTTAAATTCTGTTGAACGGAAAGAACAGAAATGTAGGGACAAAGACAAAATGCAAAAAATTTTCATATTCATATTTATGAGTATGGTTTCAAGAAACCACATATTTGAGTATGGAGCAGAGATGTACGACACTTTTATGCACATTTTGTATTTTTCGATAAGGTAAGTTGAGTAGTGTCGGCTAACAAAAAATGTAATGAAAGTAACATAATATAGTACATTTCAACAATTTGAGTTATTATTTCATTTCAGTTATTTAAAAGATACTTATAGAATTATTTCAAATAATTACAACTAGTTTTTAAGTTACTAAAAACAAATATGTATGTACCTACTCCCAAACATTTTTTTTGTTTCATAATTATTTTTAAGCTAGCTAAAAAATATTATGAAAAACGCTTGCAAAATTTATTTGCGTTAAATTTTGATACTATTTATTTTAAATAAAGTTGAGTCAAACCAATGGTTTGTATTGTAGCACTTTTCCCTTCAACAAGTGAAAATTCTACTTTTAAATACAGTCTATGTATACCTATCACCCTATTAAAATTATTTTCATTCATATTCAAAACTATTTCTAGGATTACATATATTTAGGATGAACGATTTATGCAGTCTGTGAAATAAAGCAAAAATTAATATAAAGTGGGGTTAACATAATGCTCGATTTTAAGGGTTAATTGTGTGAGTTAAGAAAAATAATTATATTTTTTAATGTCATGGAATTTACCATTAGCTTTTCGCGTTTATAGAAATTTGAAAAAGCTTGCGGTTTCGGAAATATAAGGTGTCAAAAATTGAAATTTTACAAATTTCAAGAGGCGATAACTTTAGAGGGGATGGAAATGGAAAAAAAAATTTCTTCTAACGAAATGAACTATTATAGTATACCGCGCTAGGGAAAGCAAGCCGCTGCCTTTCTGTGTTTACAAAGTTTCAAAAATGCTTACGGTTTCATTGCAACAAATAGTTAAAAAAGGCCATTTTTAGGGTTTTGGGGGGTATATAACTTCCAGAGGGGGGGAGATAGGTAAAAATTTTGTTCTACGGAAATAAGTTTCTAATAAAGATCTATGTACATACAAAATTTCAGCTTTTTATCTTCAAGGGTGTAGAAGTTTTGTAAACAGACACACGGACAGATGGACGGAAGGACGGACGGACGGACGGGCGGACGGACGGACGGACGGACGGACGGACGGACGAACGGACGGACGGACGAAGGGACGGACAGAGTGAAACTAATAAGCACTTTTTGTCAAAAATTTTTTGGAAAAATGCTAAAAAAATAAAGTTGGGTCAAACCAATGGTTTGTATTGTAGTACTTTTCCCTTCAACAAGTGAAAATTCTGCTTTTAAATATAGTCTATGTATATCCACCACACTATTAAAATTATTTTCAATCATAAACGAAACTATTTCTAGAATTACATAAATTTAGGATGAACGATTTATGCAGTCTTTAAAATAAAGCAAAAATTAATATAAAGTCGGGTTAACATAATGCTCGATTTTAAGGGTTAATTGTGTGAGTTAAAAAAAATAATTATATTTTTTAATGTCATGGAATTTACCGTTAGCTTTTTGTGTTTATAGAAATTTGAAAAACTTGCGGTTTCGGAAATATAAGGTGTCAAAAATTCAAATTTTACAAATTTCAAGAGGTGATAACTTGAGAGGGAGTGGAAATTGAAAAAAATTTTCTTCTAACGAAAAAAACTATTTTTTAATGTTTAAAAGCCCCTAAAGCTTCTACAAGCTGGGGTTTAGAAGAAAAACGAAATCAAAAATTTGGAAAAAAAGGACTTTAGATAACGGTAAATTTGAACAGCCATTTTGTTTTTCTAAAGTTAACTATAGTGTACTGCGCCAGGGGAAGCAACCCACTGCCTTTCTGCGTTTGCAAAATTTGAAAAATGCTCATGGTTTCATTGCAACAAATAGTTAAAAAAGGCCGTTTTTAGGGTTTTGGTATGGTATAACTTCTAAAGGGGGGGGGGGGGGGGGAGATAGGTAAAAATTTTGTTCTACGAAAATAAGTTTCTAGTAAAGATCTATGAACATATTAAATTTCAGCTTTCAGCCATCAAGTGTGTAGAAGTTTGTTTCTAGTAAAGATTTATGTACGTATAAAATTTCAGCTTTCTATCTTCAAGGGTTTAGAAGTTTTGTAAGCAAACACACGGACAGACGGATGGACGGACGGACAGACAGAGTAAAACTTACAAGCACTTTTTTTCAAAAATTTTTTGGAAAAGTGCTAAAAATATTCAAATCCCGTCATAAAAATATACGATAGTCTTTTCCAAAACATTTTAAATTTATTTATACCTGCACACTACATTTCTTTATACCTGAAACTATTTCTAGAATTGCATATATTTAGGATGAACGATTTATGCAGTCCTTGAAATAAAGCAAAAACTAATTTGAAGAGGGGTTAATATAATGCTCGAATTTAAGGGTTTATTACGTGAGTTAAGAAAAATAATTATGTTTTTTAATATTATGAAATTTACTGTACGCTTTTTGCGTTTTTAGAAATTTGGAAAAGCTTGTGGTTCTGGAAATACAAGGCGTCAAAAATCAAATTTTACAAATTTCAAGAAGCGATTGACTTGAGAGGGGATGGGGTTGGAGAAACTTTTTCTTCTAACGAAATGAACTATTTGTTAATGTGTAATGTCTAAATTTAAGCTTCCACGACCTGGGTCTAGAAGAAAAACGAGATAAAAAATTTAGAAAAAACGGATTTTAGATAATGATAAATTTTAACGGCCATTTTGTTTTTTTGAAGTTTAAGTAAAATTTTCCGCGTTTACTAAATTTCAAAAATAGTTGTGGTTTCACTGCGATAAATAGTAAAAAAATGGCTTTGTTGGAGTTTTGGGTGGGTTTAGCTTTTAGAGGGGGGAGATAGCTAAAAATTTTGTTCCACAGAAATAAGTTTCTAGTAAAGATCTATGAACATATTAAATTTCAGCTTTCAGTCTTCAAGTGTGTAGAAGCTTTTTAAACATGTCCACTGACGGACGGACGGACGGGAGGACAGAGTAAAACTAATAAGCACTTTTCAAAAATTTCTTAGAAAAGTGCTAAAAAAGCTAGTTTCCGTCACTAAATATCTTTTTTGAAATTATCCTATTTGTAAAAGTTTAATGCAATAAAATAACATTTTCTTATTAAATTTTGTTCTAAAAATATATGGTGAAGAAATTTAATGTATACTTATATTTTGGTTAGTAATACATTTTGCAGCAGATCGCGAAAATACATAACTAAAAGCGTACGTACATACTAGTTATAAAACAATGTAGATTTTATTAACCCTTTACAATTTTTTTAAGAAAGCGTTCACTTTTTGTTATAACTTCCACTTCCAAAAATGAATTTGTATACAATATTTATACCACCAAAAGTAAATAAAAATTACCCCTTAAAGATGTAGTACCATTTTGTAAAAAGCGGTCACATAGCATCTTGGGACTCTAGAGCAAAATCCTATATAATACCTTTTGTCCTATATCTCTAGCCCTTCTACAAGTACCCGTACTTTTTGGCACCTGAGAAATAGCTATACATATTGCTGATTGAAATCACATGGCTACGTGCTATCAAAGGCCGCGGAATGTTCACATCTCAGCTTTGAAATATAATTGAGGGTCTCAGAAGCAGACCCACATTGTGGCTTACGCCCCTCTGCTTCTGATCCTCTACTATATCTTGATAAATTAGAGAAATATAAAATTCATCATAACCTTATATTTGTACTAATTTTGAGTAATTTTTTGTAAATTTTTTCTATTCGCTTTGTAACTCTTGAATTCGAAACATAAATTTTTCGCTTATATCGCCATTAATTTAAATTGTACTTACAAAAAATAAAGTTCATAATTGTACTTTTTAATACAAAACATATTTAATTTTAAATACAAAAAAAATAATAAAAGATTTGTTTCATAAAATCTAGTTAAACTGAAGTAGTGAACACAGTATTATGCTGGTTTCATATCAGACGTTGGATATTTTCACATAACATTTAATTTTTTAACTTGAAAAGTTATGTGTGTTTTTTGCGATAATAGTATAATTGACAGGTTGCGATAATGAAATCCTTTAAATGAGATCCCGTAAAAAGTTCAACTTTCCTTTTG